CTGTATAGTCTTGATTTTTGCAACAATGCAATGAAAACTCCTGAAGATGCAAAGAATCAAAGACCCAGCCTTGTATTCAGAATTTTTAATTTCCACAGGGGCAAGATTGTGGGATGGGCTACAGTTTGGGTTTGCCCCATTTTTAGAGACAGCTAGCCATTTAAGTGACCATCTGTTTCCAAATTGGATTTTAGAGTGCCTGGTGTCTGGAAGACAGTGTGGAGATTAGACCAGATAAGAGCAGGGGTCTGTTCTCAGTTCATTTCTTTTAGATAACCAATGTATCCTTTGGAGAGTTGAGGTACTCCTGAAGATAACGTCCCAGTATAACTTACAGGGGTTAGGGTTAGGGTGAGGGTGAGCGATCATTTGGCAGGGTGACCATCGAGTGTGCGCTGGGGAAGGGGCACGGAAGTGAAACAAAGATTGTTTGGGGGATCTTCAAGTGCCTCTTGAGACTTTTAACTGTGGAGAAGATTGTGCATAAATTAAGCATAAGTCACTTGGGACTGCTCAACTTTTCAAGGTCTGTACAAAAATTACAACAGGTATCATCAACCTGTCAAGAAATGTCAAAAATGTCATCAATTGTCAAGGATTGTCTACATGGTGTCAAGTCTCAATCTATCAAGAAGTACCTAGGCCATACAAAATGTTGCAAAAGCTACATATACTTTATTTGTACAAAGAAAATGGAAGCTTCAGTTTTGTTGTGTTGTAGAGAACGTACTTCTTTTTTAACTCAAAAGAAAAATAAAACGATGTAGTATTCACTTAATGGGTCACATAAGGTCATGTAACTTTTAGAGAAGCTGGATTTTATACTTCTGTGAGACTAAGAGGTCACCTGGTGTCTTTGGGGTATTTTTATCATTAAGTGCAGAAGGGAAATTACACTCAGACCTCCAAAAAGCCTACAGGGCAAGGTAAGTCTTGCTCTCTCTGTGTGAGCAGGAAGAAAGCACTAAAAAGCTCTGAAAATACAAATTTATAATACAAGGAAAAGTCTAGACCCAATTGACCAGCTATCAATTGAGGATTTTCACAGTTAACAATAATGTGATGTCATCATGAAAAACCAAAAGAGCTGTGAGAAAGGTACTCATTCCACCATTGTGATTTGGACTCTTTATCCAAAGAATATGCATATTCTTTTTGCATATATTTTCCACCAATAGTATCTGCAGAACTGTCTTTCCTGTCCATTCTGTTCTTGAATTAATTTCTTCTGACTTTGTACATCCAACTTGGAAACAAAAGTCAGTTCTTTATATCTTCCTCAAAACCTACCTCCCGATTTGGATTTGTATGACCATCAAAATTGGTTATTGTGCAGTTGGTTCCTTCATCTAAGTCATTAAAATAGGTTGAAATAACTGTGACCCCACAACTGGCACAGTGACTCAGTGATTAGTACTGCTGCCTCACAGCACCAGGGAGCTGGGTTTGATTCCACCCTTGGATGACTGTCTGCGTGGAGTTTGCACATTCTCCCTGTGCCTGTGTGGATTTCTGCTGGATGCTCCAGTTTCCTCCCACAGTCCAAAGATGTGTATGTTAGGTGGATTGGCCATGCTAAATTGCTCATAGTGTCCAGGGATGTGTAAGTTAGGTGGAGTAGCCATGGGAGGTGCAGGGTTACAGAGAAAGGGTGGGTGATGGGTCTGGGTAGGAGGTTCTTTGGAGGGACGGTGTGAACTTGTTGGGCTAAATGGCTTTTCTATGATTCTGTGACTCACCACTAGTCACAGGTAGACAATCAGAAAATTATGCATTTATCTGGACTTTCTATTTCTGGCTGATTTGGCAATCCTTTGTCCCTACTCCTGTATCTACACCATTACCATAACCTCCTGTCGAGAAACCTTTTATGTGGCACTTAACAAATACCTTTTGGAAAATCAAATATACTACACCCACTGGTTCCTTTTGTTCTCTATGCTGTTTTTTTCATCCTTATCAAGTTTGATTTCCCCTTCACAAAAATATGTTGACACTGTCCAATTGTACTATGATTTTCTAAATATTCTGCTACTACCCCGTTAACAATGATTCTAGCATTTTCCCAGTGGCAAGATAGTATTTTAACTGTTCTGCATTTTCCCGATTTCTGTCTCCATCCTTTCCTTATTAGTGCTGTTATACCTGCAGCTTTTCAATCCACTGAAATCTTTCCGGAATCTCAGGAACTTTGGAAGCTTTCAGAAGATGCATCCATTATCTTAGCAACCACTTCCACTAAGATGTTAGAAAGTAGGCGATCAGATGCAGGGGACTTGGCAACTTTTAACTCCAATAGCTTTCTACAAAGGAACGGTAGAGGCACAAGGAGGGAAATAAGTACCAGGGGCATGCTAACATCACCTGTAGCTAGTAAGTCAGGAGAGATTGTGGGGTGGGGCTAATTAGGAAGTGGGGAGGATTAGATAAAAGGAGATTGCCATCTTAAATGGTTTCAACTCTGCCATTAGCAACCTCTCTTCACCAATGGCTGTTCCAATAATGGACGCCATCTCCAGGATTTTCACGGGGTTTAGGGCATATAATTACACATGTCCTTCTGCTGACTCCATATGTGTATCACATTGTCCTACAACAAAAAGGGAAATTTGTCAGTGAGTGTTGTGAAGTTTTTTTTTTGAATAATGTGGCTGCCATTTTTGAATAGCTTGGAGCATGAAACCGTGTGAGATATGTGTGTGAGAAGTTTGCAGCTGCTGTAAATGCATGGGGATGCATTGGAGTATGTGAATATTGGGTGTGAATTGTGATTAGTAGAGATTGTTGATAGGTGAGTGTTGGGGGTGTGCTGAATTAAGAAATGGCCGATGCAGGCCAAGCACTTGATAGGATATGACATATGAAGATCCACTGACTGGCCTTGTCCATTCATTTGAGCCCATTTCACTTCTTGCAGTGGCACCTCCAAGTCTTTGGGGCTTGGCTGCTTGCAGTAAGCTCCACAGCTATCTGCTCTCACTCACTGCCTTTCAATAACGTGTTTGGAGACTCCCTCCCTCTCTGTGCACCTCCATTATAGGGGCAGAAAGTCTTGAAGCTCCTTTGCTCTCTTTTGTTCCTCTTGGTTCTTCTTTATTATGTGGCTCTTTGTTTCTCAGGTCAGACTCACCACCTGTTAGATTTCTACACTTGTGGCATTACACAATGCACATGCCCTTTAATAGGTGCAGGCTAACTTTGTGTAGTGCTGAAAGTAGCGATTTTGAGCCCCCTGCAAATTTATGCTACCAATGAACAATGCAACTAGAAATCATAAAAGCCTTAGGTCCCTGTGTCTCTTCCCTTACTTCCCTGCACTGAATGGGATCCCAGTATCTCCATCACATCTTCTCCTACTATGTCAATAAATGAATGGATTAATGAACTTGAAAATCTGCTCAATCCTCTCCCACAAAGTTCATCACAGTCACTTAACTACTTTGAATGCTTCAAAAGCAAATAAATTGCAATGAGATGAATAACAATTTTATATGCTTTCTTTATATTGGTCATAAATGTGTTGCTTCCTGTATAATCCCAGGGGATTTTTATATTGAACAAGCATTTGGCCAATCTTGGTTCAGTGTCTGTCCTTTCACTCCTGTGTCATAAGTGCAAGCCTTACACTAGCACTGAAGCCTAAAGTTCAAGATGACATTGCAATGCTAAGAAAGTGCTGCACTGTTAGAATTGCCATCCTTCACAAGAAATGCTGAACTGAGACTATCAGCCTACTCAGGTGGAATTAAAGTTTTATGGCTCGATGACATTAATTATTCAAAGACAAGGAAGTGAGTGTTTTCATGAAGCCATAGCCAATATCTGCTACAACAGATTGACAGGTCAGTTTTTCCATTACTATTTATGAGATCTTCAGTAAAAGCGGTTGACCCTATTGTCTTTTGATTAAGAAAGCTACATCTAAGTCAAGTCTGAAACTGGGCTCAGTGATACCAATTGTAATTTTCCCTGAAACTTGTCATTAGTGGGAATTATGCATCAGCTTGTCATTTTCAAGCACAGACATGTTTATTTCATGACTATTGGAAACTTCATTACTTCTCTCATAGAGTATCCATAGCCATAAATATTGCCTGGAGGAATTTATACGCATTACAGGATTCTACAGGCACATACTTTACTGTTTATGTGTGAAGAAGTTTCTAAACTTAATTTACGTTGGGTCTACCAACATATTTACTGTTACCATATAGATTTTGAATGTTAACAATAGATGATTAGCAGCTTGCTGCCATCATATTTAACTTTACTGACCTTGTGAGGTCATTAAATTTCTTCATGCATAAAAGGGGTTTTTGATGTTAGCGGTTATCCATGTACTGCCTTCCTAATTTTCAACCGATTATAATTGTCATAACATTTAGGAGACCTCCAGAAATATTTGTTCAATTCTAAACTTTCCATCTAAAGCCTTGGTAATAACAATTAATGATGGCTACTTATTGGGCATTCAGTCATGGGCAGGTCACAATTTCCTCCGATGTTTTCGAGATAAGACATTAAACTGAGATCCTGTCTCTGATAGGTGTAAATATCCAAGTGCACTACACAAAGTTGAGCAGGAAAGTTACTCCTAGAGTTTTGGCTAATATTTATCCATCAACCATAAGCATGAAAAGAAATTACCTGGTTATTTATCTCATTGTTATTTCTGAGATTTTGCTCTCTGCATATATTCTACTGCTTTTTCCTATGTTACAGTTGTGATTACAATTCAAATGGATTTAATGGACTGACTTTGAAAGAGACTACATAAAAGCCAATTGTGTCTTGTTAATTAATTTGGAAATTTTTTGAAAATATCTGCATTCTAAATTGACAGGGCATGAAGTCTACTTTATTTGAGGGTTTTGCAAAGGTGTGTGCTTGATAAAATATGATGGCATGATTTTAACAGTGATATCTTGATACGTATTGACATTTTGATATGAACATAGCTTCTGTACATGCGTGATTTCATTTCTTAACGTTAACTGCAGATTTTAACCAGTGGAATTAATGCAAACTTGCCCAAAGGCCCATTGAAGACAATGGAACTTTCCATTACTGAAGAAACCGATACTCCTTTAATGATATATAAGGTAACATTCATAATTATCGTTGAATTTGTTTCATCTTGAATTTTACACAGTGCATAGTAAATAAAAGGTTAAGTTTTATGTCATAATAATTGCTGACAGACATATCTTACTCCTTTACTCAACTGTAGAAGACCCCACTTCCAAGCTGATTCCCTAAGTTGCCTTGTGCTTTTTATCACTACGTATCATTTTCTCGTCCATACTATTTGTTCTACCTTAAGTGAGTGCCCAGGTTGCTAAATGCAGAGTATGGGTTGGTGGGCCATTACTGGCATTTCTAAAGGCAGGAAAGATCTCACTCTTTCAAAGAGTTTCTCCATTGTAATCTGACTTTGAGTCACAAGAAGAAAAATCTAGCACTGTTAACTGTGGAGTGCATTGAACAGCATACTGTCCCAATCAGAGATAGTAGGAACTGTAGATGCTGGAGATCTGAGATAACAAGATGTAGAGCTGGATGAACACAGCAGGCAAAGCAGCATCAGAGGAGCAGGTCTAGACCATTCTTCAGAAATCAGGGAGGGGAAGGGGATTCTGAAATAAATAGGGAGAGAGGGGGAGGCGGATAGAAGATGGATAAAGGAGAAGATAGGTGGAGAGGAGACAGACAGGTTAAAGAGGTGGGGTTGGAGCCAGTAAAGGTGAATGTAGGTGGGGAGTTAGCAGGGATAGGTCAGTCCAGGGAGGACGGACAGGTCAAGGGGGTGGGATGAGGCTGGTAGGTAGGAGATGGAAGTGGGGCTTGAGGTGGGAGGAGGGGATAGGTGGAGGAAGGACAGGTTAGGGAGGTGGGGACAAGCTGGGCTGGTTTTGGGATGCGGTCAGGGGAGGGGAGATTTTGAAGCTCGTGAAGTCCACATTGATACCATTGGGCTGCAGGGTTCCCAAGCGAAATATGAGTTGCTGTTCCTGCAAGCTTCGGGTGGCATCGTTGTGGCATTACAGGAGGCCCGGGATGGACATGTCATCTGAGGAGTGGAAGGGGGAGTTGAAATGGTTTGTGACTGGGAGGTGCAGTTGTTTGTTACGAACTGAGCGTAGGTGTTCCACAAAGCGGTTCCCAAGCCTCCGCTTGGTTTCCCGATGTAGAGGAGGCCACTGAGCAACTCATATTTCGCTTGGGAACCCTGCAGCCCAATGGTATCAATGTGGACTTCACAAGCTTCAAAATCTCCCCTCCCCTGACCACATCCCAAAACCAGCCCCGCCTGTCCCCGCCTCCCTAACCTGTCCTTCCTCCCACCTATCCCCTCCTCCCACCTCAAACCCTACCCCCATCTCCCACCTACCAGCCTCATCCTGCCCCCTTGACCTGTCCGTCCTCCCCGGACTGACCTATCCCCTCCCTAACTCTCCACCTACACTCACCTTTACTGGCTCCATCCCCGCCTCTTTGACCTGTCTGTCTCCTCTCCACCTATCCTCTCCTCTATCCATCTTCTATCCGCCTCCCCCTCTCTCCCTATTTATTTCAGAATCCCCTTCCCCTCCCCCATTTTTGAAGAAGGGTCTAGATCCGAAATGTCAGCTTTCCTGTCCCAATCAGTTAGCTTGTGTCATATGAGAAAAGTGATTGCTGGTGCTGAAATTTAGAATAAAAAGAAACAAAAGGTGTATGTTTCCACAAGGTCACTGAAGGAGCAGAAGTCTCCATATCATCATCTGAACCTGCCAGTCCAATTATGCGCTTTGCTTCCTTTGCATGTGGTGTCAAATCCTGAATAAAATATACAAGATGCACCTAGAATACTGTAAACAGATTTGGTCCCCTTATCTAATGAAAGATTAACTGGCATTGGAGACAATCCAGAGATGTTTTCTCTGCTCAGCCTAAGTATGCAAGGACGGTCTTATGAGAGGAGGTTGAATAGATTTGGCCCGTACCCATTGGAATTTAGAAGAATTAGATACAACCTTGTTGAAACGTATAAGATTTTTGACAGGGTAGATGCAGAGAAGTTATTTCTTCTTGTGGCAAAATCGAGGACTAGAGCATGTAATCTCAAAATAAGGGATCACTCAGTTAAGACAGAGATGAGGAGCAATTTCTTCTCAAAGAGAGTGAATCTGTGGAATTCATAGTCACAGAAGGCTGTGGAGGCTAGTCTGTAAAGTGTATTCAGGACCGAGATAGACATATCTTTAATCAGTAAGGAAATTGAGGGTTATGGGGAGAAGGTAGGAAATTGGAGTTGAGGACTATCAAGTGAGCCAGAGTCTAATTGAATGATGGGGCAGATTTGATGAGCTGGATGGCCTACTTCTGTTCCTATGTTATATGAATCTGTATTGGCATATATTTCTCCTATATTCTAGCATTCCTTAAATCTTTTGCTATGTTCTGCATGAGGACTGTATGGCAAGAAGTCAACATTCATGCATTTCCATATTGCTGTGGTGAATATTTCATATCTTTTAAATCAATAATTATTTTTTAATCTCTGGGGTGTAAGGGAAGGGTGTGCCCAAATATCACGGCCCAATTTTTATCGCAGGTGAGATCATCTGAATTAAAATTGACCAAAGATCCACACTGGAGCCTTCCTGAGTTACACAATGAATTGAGTTTTATATTCCCAGCTCAGTAGGTTTGAAAGTAGGCAAGGGCGCATAAAATTCACTGTGCGATCTGCCTGCTATTTACTTGCCCACCATCAACCAGTGCCAGCTGTGAAGGGGAAAATGGAGGTGATGGCAATTAATGCTCGCTTAAGGGGCTTTATCCTGTTTTACCTGTGGCAGGAAATCACTCTTGTCAAATGGTAGCCTGGTGGCTTTAGGTGTATGGGCTGGTGTCAGGAAAATAAGGAATCCTTCATTGTATAACCCTGGGCTCAAATGGGGCACCATTCCTCCACCAGTTGCCCACTCCACCAACTTTCCCTCAGCCTCTCCAGATCGGGCCGTCCAACCCCCAACTCTCTTCATCCAGGCTTATCAGACAAACCACTGATTTATACCTGTCAGTCAGGGCTCCAAAGGCTCCTCTATTCTGGGGGATAGTAAGAATTGCCGATGCTGGAGTCTGAGATAACACAGTGTGGAGCTGGATGAACACAGCAGGCCAGGCAGCATCAGAGGAGCA